GCTAGGACGACGATCGCGAACGGCAACTGTAAAGTAGAGTAGAGTAGTCGTTAGGAGTGGTGGTCAGCGGTGGTCACCGCGACGCGACGCGACGCTGCAGCGAAGATGCACGGAAAGACGACGAGACAACACTCGGTCAGTCAGCAGAGAGCACGACCTTTGTGACCTTCGTTTCCTTGTCGTCCGCCGTTCGTGTTCTTCGAGGTGACAGCAACTGCCACCAAATTGTTCCTCGTCGACGTAGTCGCCCTAGCCGTCGTCGTCAACACCGATTTTGTCGTCGTCGTCGTCGTCGTTGGCATGTCGCGCTGTTTTCGGGGCGACGCGAACGTTCAGAGCGAGTTCCTAAGATAACAAGTAAGTAAACCAAAACAGGAGCACAAGAGAACAAGCAGAAATTGACAAATCGACCGACTGAGGCGAAGCAGAGGGCGCAAACGCAAACGCATCAGAGAGACTGACTGTACGCCGAGAACGGGAACAGGGCTGACGATAGGAAGAGCAAGAAAGTTTCAAAGTCTGTCACCTGTTTGTTACCCCGCAGGAGAACACGAAAAACGAATAGCAGTGGAAAAGGGGACAAGAGGAAAGGAGGGCATGAGGGATGAGGAAACGGTAAAGATACGGGGGAGGCGGCAGCTTCGACTTACCTCCTTCTTAAGGTGAGCCGCGACATCAGAAGATGGCAGTATCACGCGCTCACCAAACGCTTCCATGAATGCGAGTGGACGACGACGGAGTTTGTGTATTTCGGTGATTAAACTTAAGCACCTAAGCGAGTAAAAACTGTACCCTGTACGGCTATGGCTGCAACGGCGGCGGTGGCGGTGGCGAAGACGATAAAGCGGCGCCCTGCGCAAGTCAAACTCACACGCACACAAGGGCAGAAAGATAGGACGAGAACAGCGGGTGACAAAGACGCGAACGAGTGATAAAGAAAGAAGAAAAGACGCGCAACGAAGACCGACAGAGACGGCAGTGGCTGTGAAAAACCACTAGCCGTTGCTAATGCCGAAGT